ATACCTACCAATGATCCAGGAAGATCACTCCTTCATAGATCAGTAATATAGTTAAGACAAGTCCTAGAAGAAATTCACTTTACTTCGGCTGCAAAATTGGAGCTGAAGAGAGATATGCATATATTTGGTCAAAGACTTATCTAGAATTTTTCTCCAGAGTGAAGTTATAAATAGCTGCCATCTACCATGAAAAACATACCAATTAGGCAAGGCAAGGCAAGGCCAAAAGCTAGCCAAGAACAAAAGGAGGAAGGCAGAATGAGAGTGTAAGTACTTAGCCACAAATTATTTTACCTTCTCGTTCTACAAATGCAGCATCAAAGGGCAAAAAGGTTAAAAGCAAGGGCCTAGATAAACAATTTTCTTCTAGAGTCCAAGAAAAGAAGAGTTTCTCACAGGCACTACTACATCTAAGTCTCAGATACAAGGTAGTACAACAGAACCATTCCAAAAACCTGAAAACATTTCCCCAACTGTTCACAGTGTATTTTCTAATTGTTGCCAGGCCCCTTTCCGGTGCAAGTAGAACTAAAAAAATTCTTGAGGAACAATAAGAGATCCAGAAGTGGTATTTTAGGAAATACAGGCCTCATTGTCCCCACCTCCCCATTCCCCTTTACATGAAGATAAGTTACAAAAGTCATGAAATACTAATATGGAAGTTCCTCTCATTTGTAGAACCAAATAATAAAACCAGAAAGTAGAATCAAATTAAAAGAAAAGTTCTTTAGGCTGTTTTTGAAACACCATACATTTGATTCAATGTTCGACCACATGCAAAGTACACACAGTCACGGCGCCCTGTCCTGGTGCACTGGTCTCTGAGAAGTTAACTGTCAGCTGACCTTCAGTTCCCAGGAGCAAAGGTGCCTAGCACTAGGAGGCTTTCTGCTCTCTTTAGAATCTCACTGGTCCTAGCTGGAAAGGGATGCAGGGGCTACATGACAGCCAGAGCAAAGCTACTTTTATCAAGACCTAACACCAATGATTACTTGCAAAATATTTTGGGAGTAGGGCACAGCTACTGCTTGGAAAAAGTTGGCACATCGGTAAGATCTGTTAACAAAATATAATCCGCTTTCACATCCAAAAGCTAACTTAGGAGCTGCTCCAGGCACCATCTAATTAACTGAAGCAGATAGAAAAAAAATCCTCAGAAATTATGATTGTTTAAATACACTCTATTTTATTTTGTCTTAAAATAGTTTAACCTTTATGCTACAGACTTATTTCAAAAAACAGAAAATCTTATCTTGCACCAAAAAATATATATATAACACTCTGTTTTATTATTATTTTTTCTCCAAAGACCATTAAATACTAAATGGAAACAAAAACTAAATAATGAATGTAAAGAAGAACCAAATTTTGTTTTAAAAACTAGAGTTGCACATTTTAAAACATTAATTCTAAGCAATGATTTGTCGTCACTGCATCAAGTCCACACTCACACTCCAGCAACAGCAGATCTGTTAACCACCAAGTGCATTGGTTCCTAGCCATACAATGGCTAACATTTCATTTTCATGGTAAGAGGAGCAAAAGGCTTCATATGACCTTTGTACTCTTTAAAAAACAAAACAAAACAAAACAACAACAAAAATATTTCCTAGTTATCCAGTGATTTCTCTTTTAAGATCACTACCCTTTAAAATTTGTTAAAAGAATAAGAAGTATGTAGTGTTTTAAATAAAATGAAAAATACAACAGCAATGGACTAAAATACGTGATTATTTTAAACAAACAGTGCACAATCTGAGGAAGTTTGGTTAGGGCGCAATCATTTTTATATATACATGGAAGTCACATCATACACATACTGGAAAACAGAGATTAGGGGGCTCGTTGCATTTTAAAAAAAAGTTTAAACTAAAAGACAACATTGTGTCCCCAGCTCTTTCAAAAACTTTGTGACACAGCATAAAAAGCAGGCAACAAATTCATTTTGAAGTTACCTATGGTGGTGCTATTCTGCTAAAAGGAACAGTGAACAATGGACTAAGTTAGAAAATCAGACAGTTCATATTCACAACTGATGATAATAAAAGCAGAATTTATGCAATGCTCAACTGTAATAAATCCTGGAGTCCACTCAGTCTGGCCCCTTCCATCAGAATGGAAAGACAACTACTGGTGAGTAGATGTATACGCTCTAGGGCAGCCAGGATGACCTGAGAGCTAGTTACTGCTCTGTGGTTTCACACTGGAGGGGAGGGGAGGGAGGAGCTTAACTAAATTGGTGCCACAATCCAACCCGTGACCCAAGTGCACCACTTGAGCAGAGACACTACTTTGAATAATGTTCTGTGGAGCATAAAGAAGTACTGATGCTACCAAATGCCAACACTTTAGTTAAAAAACAATTCCTTTAAAAGAAATTTCAAATGTCATTGGACTTGTTTCCCACAGAATTCTATCAGTAAAATACCTTGCCAGAAGCCACACCCTCACTCTTCTGGATCTGGCAATGAAAGAAGAGCTCAAACAGTCTCTCTACAGTTAGTAGGTGGAAAAATCCCAACCCTGTAGGGGGAAAAAAGCTGAGTGTTTCTACCATCCCTCCCTCTCCCCTTTTTGCATGTTAACTTCTAAATCGCTGTTCTGGCAACCAGTCGGGTAGGCAGGATGCTGAAACAGGGGCAGGTGTGGGAAAAGTGCAACCTGGTGTAAAAACACAAGGCCACAGCGCTCTGCTCCCAATCCACTGTGCATATAGCACACCAGAAGAATTCTCTTTAGAAGGTGACTACTGGGGGCTAAAGAAAGTGTGTCATGGGAAATCACCTGCTGTGTGGAATCAAACAAAACATACTATTAACATAAGAATAGGTAATGCGAAAACATTCTTTAAAATGGGGCTCTGCCCTGATACTGGGGAAAAAATAAGCTGCAAAAACTTCAAGTCATATAATCCACTCTATTCTTGTCCCAATGATTTTCCTGGAAAACACAGACCAGAAATTGTACATTTCTGCTTTGTCTAGCATTTTAATTCAAGTCAAAAACAATGTGTAACAGTAAAATTCAATAAATTAATCCTAAAGTAAAATGTGAAGGTCCAAGGATACACCAGTAGTGAATCTGCAGAAGGTCCTATTTAGCTCTGGCCTCTGGATCTTTGGTTTTTGTCTAGAACTGTGGCCATGTGAGAGATCTGATATATGAGGTGCTAAAACTTGAGGTTCATGATCTTTTAAAAGCCTGATTAAAACCAGATTGGCAGAAAAATATTAGTTGATGAATAACAGAGGCCAGATCAAATGAGATGCTACCAGAGAAGACCAAAGAACACATGCTCATACCCACTCCCATGGAAGAGGTATATGGAATAACTAAAGCAGCAGGAAGAAGGGTAAAGGGATAAATGAGTCTTTATAGAAAAACTGGAGAAAAGGCCAGGCAGGTGGAGCCAGGCAGACTCTGACGCATGCGCTCGCAAGGGTGTCCCATTTGTCTCGGTGGCCACGCCACACCTACCCTGCACAGTACCATGTGCAGAACAGGCGCTTGGTACATTTAGTATGTCCACTAAATGACAACTGAAAATGGTACTTCTCGTGCTCTTAAGATAAGGAAGAGCCACCAAGGCATTTGGGGAGGGAGGCAAGGGCTACAGCAATGTTACATGGTAAATATGGAAACAACAACAACAACAAAAAGCAAACAAAAACCATGGAAAAACAAAAAGATGAGGTCTTCTAAGCCAATAGTACTTCACTCCTCCCCGTGCACAGTACATAGTGTTCTAACTAGGTATTGCTTGTAAAAGAATTCACTAGTAACTACAACATGTTATAGGAAAAAAGGTAGTAACTAATGCCACAAAACTCCAACACTGGCATTTCCTGAATTCCCTGAAGCTCCTAACCACCCTTTGCTTATTTAGATACTGTAAAACCTACAGTGTCATTTATGTGCTTTGCATCTGGTTTCTTATGGTTCATTTTGATTTTTCCACTTTTAGATGGTAGAGGAGAAAAATACCCAAATATAGCATCAGGTCTATTTCAGCTCAAGCGTTACTTAAAACAGTTGTTGTACATCCTTTACAGAGAGACCAGCTATGAAAGAAGGCACTGCCTTCTCAGACTTGTAAGTGCCCACAGTCTTAGAGACGAAGACAACTTTTCATATTCTACTTAATAGGTTTCTGTGTTCTCCTGTTATGTAAACAAACCAGGAAAAAAAAGCTGAGGGACAAAGATTTTCTTACTGATCTCTCAATGCTCTCCTTACATGCCCAGAAAACCTCATGGGTATCTAACTGAAATGCCTCTGCCCCAAAAGGAGACATTTTCCAAAAAATTATGAATTATTGCAACAAGGAGACCAACTAAGTCACCTTAGCAGTATTTATAAACACAAAGGGGCATATCAATTATTTGTGCTGTGGGAAATCAGCCAGGAGCAAAGTCAGGAAAGAAGGCAGAAGACTCAAGCTAAAAGAAAAGTAATACTTCTGTCTTCTATTTTTAAGGACAGGTTTTCAAATGCACATGCCCTACTAGGTGCCAATAAGGACCTGACTAAATGTGTGCAAATGCCCTAAGGTAGGAGTGCCAATGGGTGGGCTGACAGTGGTCAAGTCTAGATATTAATTTTATTACACAGAAAAATAAATACAAGATTCAAAAACTGAAATCCATTTCACCTGGTAGTTAAAATATTATTCTAAAAGGAAGCCAGAGTTTCCTAAGATTGAAAGTCACCAAGTAAAATGAAGTTGTCTAAGTTGTCTAATAAAATTCATCATTCTCCTATTCCTACTGAGGGAAAGAAGAAATTCTTTTCTCTGTGCTAAGTTATTTTCCTAAGTGACTTCTTTTAATTAAAAAAAAAAAAAAAAAAAAAAAAGGAGGGGGGGCAATTTTCCATGAGTTTGGATTATACAAATGCCACAAACAGCTTCTGAGGCTGAAGCTATGACAATGAACTTCCATGTCACAAAGAGGAGGAGGAAAAGGAAGGGAACAGTGCAGAGGAGACACAGTGACATTGTATTACAGTAGGTATTTACGTCTGCTATCCTCATCCAAGGTAAGATCAACAACCTCCGCAGGTGAAGCCCAAGTCTGCTGGGGAGTCACAGCAGTCCATGACTGTGTTTGCCGGGTGCTGACATACTGCGTGCCCGAGCCATGCTTCCACGAAGAAACACTCTGAATCACACCTCCTCGAGGATGAACACACCTGCAATTGAGACGAAGAATAAAAGTATAAGCATGGTTAATCCCACTGTAGGAAAAATATAAGGCAATATGGCTTCACTAGCACTGAATGATACCTTCACAAAGATAAGCCTATATGAGTCTGTGAAATGTGAGTCTGTGAAACTTCCAACCAATATCCTTCCCTTCTTCCTATTTGTCTCCCTCCTTGCCTTTTGTCAAGTTTAGTCTAAAAGTGTCAGAAACTCCTGAGTTATGTCTAGATCTGTTACTGACAATGCATAGGTAACATGATGTTTCTCTGAACACATTTAAACCTCTGGGGTCTTCAGGACAGGGCAGAATACGAATCCAGAGCAAAACTGGGATACCCAAACAATCTTAATCTAACCAAACGACATGGTAAGAAATGTAAGTACAAGCTGTTTTAAAATAAGTCCTATGCCATACTGGGAAGAATACCTTCAAAGACAGTAATAGTAATACTCTTTTACAGATTGGATTTCTAGAAGTCTGTAAGTACTAGGTCATGCATAAAGGATCAATTTTCCTTATCCTGAAGGTCACAACAGAACACTTGGCTCATTCATCTGAAGTGCTTACGTGCTTTAGTTCAGTGAAAGTAGCAAGGTTGAAGTACTCAGTTAAGGTTCTTTAAAAGTGCTTTATCAGAGGGACAGAACTGCCTTGGTGACAAATCTCACCAAAAGTTCACTGGAAGAAAAAGGTTTCGAAACACTGACATAATGAATTCCACATTCCAGTCAAATGATAAAACTGAGCCTCCAGGATGAATCACTGAGTAACTGGATTCAGATGAGAGGAAGGCAGGCACTCAAGCTATCATTGCTACTTTTGTTCTCACATCCATCACATCCCTATGTAATATATGTAAGAAGTGACAGCTGGCAGGATTCTAGTCACATTAACTACTACAGTGGATCTTGAACAGCTGTTTAACAACTGGTGTACAATAAGCGATGCTGGGTCACTTGAGAATTCCAGCTTTGATACACTGCTACCTGCACTGCCAGGTTCAAAAGAACATTAGGGTAACAATGGACAAATTTTAGCTGCAGAACTGCCCAAGGACCCCTAAGCTCCTGGAAAGAGGTCCTGTTCTTACAAAGGTAGCTTGAAAACTACTCCCTTACCAAGTGAGGTGCCGAAAAACAGACCCCTCAGGGCCAGAGCAGAGCAGGGGGCAGAAGGTAGATTTGTTACCGTACCAGAGGCCCATCATCTGTTGAGAATGGGCTAAGTAGCTACTAGCCCAGAGGCTACTATGTTTTCAAAGATTAGCCAGTGAAAAGCATTAAAATAGGAGACATAAAGTCCAAAGGCTAATCCAGATCTGTCCAACGCATTAAGTACACTCAGATGGAAGTGATCATGTAATCACGGAAGAATGTCAGCCAAAGGAGTCCATTCAATGTTTACAGAAACAGTTTTGATGACTGATGGCACTAGAATACTGTTTCTTAAGCAGTCTCACCTCATTGGACAATCCCAACAGACCTATGAGGTAGATGTGGAAGTTACTATCCATACTCAATCGAAAGCAAAACGGAGGGTTAAAGAGGTTACATGATTTGCCCAGGGTCACACTGCATGAAAGTGGTGGGCCAAGGAGCTTCAAGCCAGGTCTGATGTGGAGTCCAATGCTTTTCACAACATCATGCTGTCACTTCACAAATGTGTATGTTAAGTTAGGTAAGGCAAAACACAGTGAGAGTCAGCAGAGTGCAAAGATAGGCCCAGATTAACGACTTAAAAATATAAAGTTCTTCAATAATTCAAAAGCTCATCTGTACAAGTACTAATTAAAGTAATCGTAGCTAGAAATTTAGTAGAATTCAGAGAATGAATGACTACAGAGAGAATCGATGTCATCTTTGGCAGAATTCCTAGAAATACTTCTGAAATAAAAGAGGTATTTAGTCCCAACTGTTACTCTACACTGCTCCCTAAGTAATCATACAAGGGATTGACTTTAAAAGGGATCTGAGCCAATCTGCTCATTTTACAGAAGAGAAAACCAAGGCCAAAAGGCAACTGTCCAGGGTCTGAAGCAAGGTAAGCACAGAACCCAAACAAAACGAGGTCTCCGGCAGCGAGTTTATTTTCCACTAAGTAACTATGCCTTCCTCAGACTACAGCTGAAGTACTGTACTGTGTCTGGTTGTAAGGAACACTGCTTAGCCCCTGGGAATCATTACAGCAAAGCAGATTCTAGAAGGTACTGATAGTATACAAGAGTGAGAGGTGTAGAGCCACTATTTACTACTGAGGAATGATGGATAGAGGGAGAATAAGGATATGAGGCACTTCAACTATCTAAATTGGATCACTTCTGTAGTTATGTTACAAATGATTCCAGTTACTGGAAACTACTTTAAGTACTGGACTACTTTAAGCAAAAAACAGAATTTGTTGGAAAGACACTTGAGGACCTCAAAGAACCTAAGGATGATGGGATAACTAGGCCTCATTCACTGGACTCAAGCCCCAACCTCTCAATCTGTTTCTCTTATTTCAAAATTTTAGATTCTCTGGAGAATGTGATGATTCCATCTTTAGTCAAAAGTTCTCCTGGCTCCTATTTAACTGTAACTAGAAGGTCAATTCCCAAAGAAGGGAGAATCGCCATGGAAGAAGGTGGCTACTCCACCTTGTACAGATATCTCAAGAGCAGACTAACAACCATCAATCAGTTTACAGAGGGAAGCTTTAGGTGATCATGACTATGCAACAATTACAACTACTATCAAATGGAATCAACTTCCTTTTATGCTTTCAAGCAAGTGCTGGGACATCTATCAGGAATACGAAAGTATTCTAAGAAGACTTCTAAGGTTATCATTGAGTTTAAAATTTTTAAGAATACAGGCAAAACTCTCTTTTTAGAAGTCATGGGGTGCAGTGGTGGGAAGGCTCTGACAAGAAGATGGTGCAAGAGGGACTTCTGTTTTTTGTTTTTGTTGTTTTGTTTTGAGAGAGAGCAAGCAAGCCAGACAGCAAGCACAAGTGGGGAAGTGGGGTAGGAGGGGCAGAGAGAGAGGGAGACAGATGATCCCAAGCAGGCTCTGCCCTGAGCACAGAGCCCCATGCGGGACTCGAACTCACGAACCGTGAGACCATGACCTGAGCAGAAATCAAGAGTTAGCTGCTTAACTGACTGAAACACCTACATACCCCAAGACTTCTGTTTCTTGATCACAGTGCTAGTTACTGGAGTATGGGCAGTTTGTAAAAACTAAAGTGTACATTTATGACTTTTCTAAGTGTGTTAAAGTCAATAAAACACTCAAAAAATTTTTTATGATTTAATGACCTCAATCATCTTAAATAAAATGGTAGCTAAGAGATGGATGAGGCCAGAACAAGGCTTTTAACACATTCCCTTTTTAAATACACAGCAAAAGGACTCATGCTGGTAAACAAAGAGTGCTGGAGAAACATTTCAACTATTTTATAAGACAGTGTACATTATAGATCAACTTATACCAGATAGGGAAAGGTTTCAGGAGGAAAAGGGACCAGAACAATTGTTATAAGCCCTACAGAGATGCCCTATAAAAACAGAAGTGAGAGACTCAAAATTTTGTTAATCTATGCACGTAAAATATACAGTTTCAGGTATTAACAGATACCCTTTCCCTGTATGATGAAAGACACGGAGTGGGAACATACTCAGCTGTTTTTAAGTTTGTTTGTTTATTTTGAGAGACAGTGAGTGAACAAGCGGGAGAGGGGCAGAGAGAAGGGGAGGGAGAGAGAAACCCAAGCAAGATCCACGCTATCAGTGCAGAGCCCAATGCAGAGCTCAACCCCATGAACTGTGAGATCATGACCAGGCAGAAATAAAAAGTTGAATGCTTAACCCACTGAGCCACCCAGGAGTCCCATACTCAGCTGTTTTTTTAATTCATCCAAACTAATTCTAGTGTAGATACAGGCTTTGTTTTCACAAAGCATTTAATCTGCATATGATTGACAATAGGTACAAAACATAATCTAGAGTCATATTTTGAGTCCAATATTCAAGAAAATGCTTAGGACTCACTCCCCCCCCCCCCAAAAAAAAACCTACTTTATAAACAGTAAGTTTTGATAGAATAATTTCCTGCTCTTCATATACTGAAACCAATAAAGGAGAGACTTCACAGTGGAAAAGAAAAAACAGAGAAAGAGGGCAGGCTCTCATGGTCAGCTTTAATACAGTTCATTTACTATCCTACGAAAACAACATTAAATATTAATCATTTTTGCTCTCATTTACAGAGCCTGAACGTGACCTCTTAGATAACATTCCTACTTATTTTTCCTAGCTAAAGATGAAGTGAATCTTCATGGCTTCAGAGAAATGCCTGTCTGCCTCCCCTGCTTTTTTAGGGTTAATGTTTACAATTAGTTCTAGGAAGCAATCCGTCTTAAATGCAAAATGCTTCTAGCATCAACTCTTCTGTTGTGGGATGAACCAACATTAAGACAAATGAACACAGGACCAAAGACTACAGTGAGTGAGGTTAGGATCTGATTATTCCCAAAAGCCTCAGAGGACAGGTATCAAAGAAACTGTTCTAACAGTTCCATAACAGAAAGATCTGTGCTATATCCACTTATCTTCCTAGGGCAATTACCAATGAAGCTGGTAGAAGAAAAGGAAAAAGGAAAAAGAAAAGTATCGGCATGAGGGCCATAAATTAAAAGTTCTGGCAAAATTAAGTGGGCACAGGGAGCTAGAGGTGCTGTAAAAGTCTCTATCTCATTTGCAAAGAACATCTTGTGAAACTAGACTGTCCAAAAATTAACTGCTAGAAATGATAACATTTAGGTAACACAGCGAGTTAATTACAACAATACAAGGCAGCCATAAAAGATGCACTCAAACCATTAGTTCAGAAGGCATGCTTTCTAGTCTATGATTGAAAGAAACACAGAAGCTAAAGGAACATATCAAATCTAAATTAAAAGAACAGGTAAAGATATTAACATGCAAGAAAAGAAAAACTTTAAAAAAAAGACACACTGTAACTAAAATTACTGAGTGCAATGTCAAACAAAATTCTTCCAATAAGGAAAAACGGCAATGCAATGCAAATCAGAGCATTCCCAAAGAGAAAAGCTCAAGAACCAATTCTGAGTTTTTGAAAACTCTCAGCCCACAACAAGGTAGAATACCAAAAAGAAAAAATAAGAACAGGACAACTAAATCCAAACAAAACATCTATGCATGCAAATCAAATTAGAACAAAAAGATGTGGATCAAAACCTAAAACCTTTTTCCAAGCGATAACCCTGCCAGAAGCCCATCAATACTTCATAACTGCAACCCTAGACCTGTAAAAGAAATAAATTCCAGATGAGATACAGACAGCCAAAAGAGTAACTCTGAAGCAACCAACAAGAAAACTTCTCCCCCCACCTGCTCCTCAGCTTTTAATCTCAATTATTTGGAAGATTATCATGCTTCCTCGAAAGAAAGTGCTAGAAAATGTTCAGAAAGACACAAAAGAGCCAGTAAGACTCTATTCAGTCCTCAACCCAAAGACCAAAATAAAAGACCCTCTCAGAATGACACAAGCGTCAGCTCAAAGTACTCTAACAAAACTTCTCAACGCCAACATTCTATTGTATGGGCAGCATTAACCACCACTGAGATTTCATAATACATTCGTCACCTCTAAGACTGTATTTCCACAGGATTCAAACCAAAGTATCAGAATACATCTTTATGCTTCAGAGCCTATAAGGAAAAAGTCCTTGAAAGTAATGTTATGTACTGTATGTTATTTAAAATGTAGTCAGCCACTTGACTTAGTTCAAGAGTGGAACAAACATATCTATAGAGTAAAATGACAATCTGGATAAAAGACCTAATAAGTATGGTGAAGGGTGTACTAGACAAAGTGTGTGTGTGTGTGTGTGTGTGTGTGTGTGTGTGTGTGTGTGTGTGTTGGGAGTGGGTAGGAACTTAAAATTTAAATTTCTGAGTTTTAAGAGAAATATAATGATAATTTTAACTCTGGATACCAAAAATATTGGTAGAAAAAAGAAGCTAAGGAGTTCATGATGGAAGAAAAGTTGAACAAAGAAGCCAAGAAGAAGGGTGGCTCACTCTGTAACATTTGTAGGCACAAGTAAACAGCAAAGAAGGGAGACTTGATATAAGTTAATAGAGAACTGAACCAAGTAACATGTTTCGAGAGAGAAAGAGATTAAGTAATAAGCAACACAGGTTATTACCCACTCTTTGCTACTTCAGTAGGAACACATGACTAACAGTGAATTAAAATTTGAAATGTAACTCAAGACAAAATTGGTGAATGGATAATGTGCAAACTGAAGATAATTTACCCGTATCAATCTGTTAACAGGCAAGGTAAGGTTTACAGTAGGGAATAAAAGGATACTCATGTCTTCTTTATTGCAAGGAACAATGGTGAAATAAATAATGGCAAACACATGCTAAAGTAAAGGAAAAAAACCGGAAGGTCTATAGTCTTTCATCTAAAGAGGTAAGTCAACATGAAAGGAACAGATTAAAAAAAAGAGAGAACAGGAAAAAGTACTTGATTAAGGCAGAAAAAAAAAAGGAAAAAGAATGAGATTAAGGAAAGACAGAAGAACGAAAATTCTTTCCACCAGAAAAGGGAAAATAATCATTAAACACAGGAAAGAAAAAAGGAAGCAGCTATGCAGGAATACTTCTGGCATAAACACAGGACAGAAGATGGAAGTGGTTAGGTCTGATAAAGTGAACTGGCCGCTTTTGGGGAGAAGACATGTTAAACTATGACATAATTTTACAACCTTAAAGTCCCAACAGGTATGACCTGAAAAATGCTCTCAGAAAGTAGAATCAGTTCTAAGACAAAGGTACCTTCGATTTATACGCATGTGTATTTTGCCTGCACTCTCTCCTCCTAAGTTCACTTTTTACATAAACAACAGAAGAAATGCTGGTGAATGTTTTCCTTTCTAACCAAAGAGTAAAATCAGATCTAAGAGCCAGGTAATGTAGATATTGTGTAGATATATGTATCTACTTGGGGAAATCAGGAAAGAAATCACAACTTAATTCTTGCAGCATAGAAGAAAAGTTGTTTGCTATATAGAACACAGATTTTCTGGAGTCTAAATTTTTGTTTTCTATATAAGTGTGTGTGTGTGTGTGTGTGTGTGTGTGTGTGTGTGTGTGTGTGTGTGTTAAATGTTCCTCAGGAATACCTCTGAGAGGACTATAACCAATTCTTAGGAATACTATCTAAAGCAAGAATCAGCAAATGTTTTTCTACATAGGGCTAGACAGTTAATTACCTTAGGCTTTGAGGGCTATCAGGTGTCTGTTGAAACTTCTTCTCAACTCTGCCACTGGAATGCAACAGCAGCCACAAACAATACGTAAATGAACAAGCATGGCTCCATCCCAATAAAATTTTATTTATGGATAAATATACTGTATTTATGTGAATTCCATAAAACTTCCACAAGTCATAAAACATCATTCTTCTTTTGATCCCGTCCCCCCTCAACCATTTCACAATGTAAACTAGGGGCGCCTGGGTGGCTCAGTGGGTTAAGCATCTGACTCCAGCTCAGGTCATGATCTTGCAGTCTGGGAGTTCGAGCCATGCGTCCAGCTCTGTGCTGACAGCTCAGAGCCTGGAGCCTGCTTCGGATTCTGTGTCTCCCTCTCTCTGCCCCTCCCCTGCTCACACTCTGTCTCTCTCTCAAAATATTAAATACTAAAAAAAAAAAAAAAAATTTTTTTTCATTAAAAAGTAAACTAGTCTTAGCACAAGGTCCATATAAAAACAGGCAGCAGACCAGTGGGCTATAGTTTGCTCACCCCTATCTTAAAGAATGACAAACTTCAAAAGTTATTTTCATAACTCTAGACAAATTTGATGTCTTGTGGCTTTTAATCCTAAAAATAGGACTGCCTGAGTCACATGAACATCACTAGAAATATACTATGTTAGGAATAGACCAAAGTAACTCGCAGGTTTTAATGAACGACAAGAAGAGGTGCTTTAGGAAACAAGCAATACAGGTATGATGTCAGATGTATATTTCCCAATTGTTTGCTCCCAACACATTTCAAGATAAAGTGAAAGGCAAGAAAATATGAATGACAGGGGGAAAGGTAGGATGACACTATGCCATAAGAGAAAAATCTGTCAAGGTATCTAGACATTTGCTAAAAATATGAGGAAAACATCAGTTCTATTTCACATGCATATATGGTTGAGATGTTCTTGACAGAAGATGCAACACATTCTCAAGCTCATTATCATGTCTAATCAAAAAGCATTTTCTAAGCCACAGGAAGCTACGAGATAGCTCCCACCATTCATGCCAGCCATGCCAGGAGGACTACCACGTTCTTCTCACTTTATGGTTAAAATCAAATTCACATTTAAAATATGAGAATGCTCCACTGAATGTCCTACCTTGCATGTTCCTGAACTCCCACAATCTCCACTTCACTATCTGAAGAGGCAATATTAATTTCTTCATTGAGTGGTACATTGCCAGCCGATGTCTTGTCACTTGCTAGGAATCCTGGATCCAAATGACCTGAGAGAGAAGGGGGGTAAAGTAAGCACTACAGTCTGACTTCTTACAAGCAGCATGAAACACTCATTGACAGATTTCCCATCCAGGTTAATCACAGAAACAGAACTGCCATATGAGAGCTTGGCAGAGTGAAACTGTCAAGTCTCTCATTCTCTATTCATTAGGGGAAAAAAAACTAAGTACTTTAGTAAATAGGTATATATAAACTATGATAATACTCTATTATATTTTATTCCGTAATGCTTTTTGCATTCAACTCTAGTCTCCTTTTAAATGACCTGTATAACAGGTTTGTCACCACCTAGAGGGCAATAAGGTTCTCTACTGCTTACTGGTAAATTTTATTATTTATTTACTTACTTACTTACTTACTTATTTATTTTTAAGTAGGCTCCACAACCATTGTGGGGCTTGAACTCATGACCCTGACATCAGGAATCACAACTCTTCTGACTGAGCCAACCAGGCACCACCACCACCACCACCCTCCCGCCCCCCCAGGGTAAATTTTAACAGAACAAAATTCTAAAGCAGAAAAGCTCAAAGGCATAAATAGAATAAATAACAGAGGTACTCATTAATATCATATTTACACTGGAATGCTTTATGAAAGTTTTAACAAACTTCTTTTAAACAACTTTAACAGTTTTTCTCAAAAGGAATGTAGAATTGACAAAATCTGACCCAAAACCACATCTAAAAGAAAAGGCTAGAGGCAGATCACAATTTTTGTTCTGAGCAACTAAAACATAACCTGTACGTTGCTGACAGCTCTTATTAGAAAGAAACCACATATTCTGAAAAAGCACGACAAGTTGTGGCAGTGGGACATATAAGAACTTTTCCACAAGGGGCTTCACAAAGCATCTATTATATTACACGGTAGAATATAACATTCTCCCAACTCACAGAAAACATGAGCTTCACAGAACTCTCTCTCAACAAAGGCTAAGAGGATAACATCAAAGTACACAGCCATATAAACAATTCTAACAAGAGTTAAAATAGTTCAGCTTATGTATCCAGCTCTTAAATGTTCTGACCTTTATGAAATAGAATATCTAGGAGTCAACATGAAATAAACCAAGTTGCAACAGGCACAAATTTTCAATTACTCTTTAAAGGGTATTTTTATTTAAATATATTATCATCTGATACAATACTGTTCCTCCATATTTAAAAAAAAAATCCTTGGTGACACTTCATATAAACGAAGCACGTATCAGTAAGATTTTACACATACAACTCTCCCTTCTCCCTCCATCACCTTCACATCATTCATACCAATGTTTCAAGGTCACTGAGAAACCTTGTACTTCCATACTCCTGCGAGCTTTTAGTATAACCCTCTTGGAAAATGATACACAGTCACAAAGCAAAAGTCTTACAATTTCTATACCCTCTGACCTTGTAATCCCATCTCTGAGAATTTAATTTAGTCCAAGGGAAAAAACTTTAAATAAGCAAAATGTTATGAGGTCCAAAGATAGTGACTACAGTCTATGTAGAAACTTGGGGAAACATATGCATAACACAGAAAGTGTCACGTACAACACTTTAAAAATATTTTGGTGCTGGGTAAAAGTTGTAAAAAGCAATCAAGCTTGACTTGGACTGTGGGTCTTTTTTACAATTCTTTAATATTACTTTTACTTTTTTCTTCAATTGAACACGACACTGATGAGAAAAAAGACTAAAAAGCTTAAAATGGCTTCCAGATACAACAGGTAATTGAGATTATATTACAGTTTGCAAGGGCTTGTTAAACTTTCTGTATTAACGAATAGCCTAAATAGGATTCTACACACTGGCAGTGGGTAAATATCTTTGAACGTCACAAGCAAATGAAAGGTGGCATTCACCAGATAAAGCCCAGTTTTGTTAAATCTGGGTTGGTTGCTTAAATGAAGTATGGTTAAATCTTGATTTGCTAAACTCAGATTCTTGCTCTGATGCCAACACCTTGTTTGTGGCCAAGTCTTTTGTCTAATTTCTAGTTCAATGTTGAAGTTAGAACTATCATCATATACACTATTCCTACTACACTTCTAGGAAAGAATACAAATTGATAGTCTCTTTTTTCAAACCTTCAACTTGTCCATATTCAATCTTTTCAGCAGCCTTGCTTTGTGCAACTATAACAATTTGCTTCTTCTATTTGTTCCTACAATAAATACTTGTTTATGACATGCTATGCACTAGGTGCTACGAATACTATAGAGATCAAAGACAGGAGGTGCAGTGCCTATGCTCAACTCAACGAGCTCACGATATACTTGGGGATTCGAAAAAGCAGTACATTATGCTATGGCTTGAAAATTGCTGGGGGGGTCTGGGGGGCTCAGTTGGTTCAATGTCCAACTCTTGATTTCAGCTCAGGTCATGATCCCAGGGTCGTGGGATCAAACCCCGCTTTAGGCTCTGCACCGAGCATGGAGCCTGAGATTCTCTCCCTCTGCAGCTCGTTCGCTCGCTCTCTCTCTCTCTCTCTCTCTCAAAGTAAAAGGGGATGGCTCAGTCTGTTAAGTGTCCATCTCTTGATTTTGGCTCAGGTCATAATCTCACAGTTTGTGAGTTTGCACCCCGCATCGGGCTCCATGCTGACAGTGCACAGACTGCTTAGGATTCTCTCTCCCTCTCTCTCTGCCTCTCCCCTGCTCACTTTCACTCTCAAAATAAATAAACTTTTAAAAAAAGTTTTAAAAAGAAAAAGAAAAAAAAAGAAAATTGCTCAGTCAGAGAGCAATTTAAAGATATGGAAAAGGGAGGGAGTACCTGCGTGGCTCAGTCAGTTAAGGGTCTGACTCTTGATTTCAGCTCAGGTCATGATCTCATGGTTCATGGGTTTGAGTCCAGCATCAGGCTCTGTACTAACAGTGTGAAGCCTTCTTGGGACTCTCTTTCTCTCTGCCCTGCCCCCACTCACCCTCCCTCCCTCTCTCAAAATAAACAAACATTTTCAATGCTTTTTTTTTTTTTTAATGTTTGTTTATTTTTGACACAGAGAGAGACAGAGCATGAACGGGGGAGGAGCAGAGAGAGAGAGGGAGACACAGAACCCGAAACAGGCTCCAGGCTCTGAGCCGTCAGCACAGAGCCCGACGCAGGGCTTGAACCCACGGACCGTGAGATTGTGACCTGAGCCGAAGTCGGACGCTTAACCGACTGAGCCACCCAGGCGCCCCTAAACAAACATTTTCAAAAAAATAAAAAAGACATAGAAAAGGGAAATTTCCCAGACTTAAGAATAATCAAAGACACAGAGCTCTCAGGAAACAGTAGGCACAGATGAGAGGAAGTAGCAATACGGAACACTGTGTTGCCCTTTAGGGTATAAAAGTTCAGTGAGATGTGGGGTAATATAGTAAAAGCAGTAATGGGAAACAAGGCTGGCAAAGTCAACAGAGTTCAGATCATAGTAAGAAGTCTGGAACTTGACCTTGAGAAGTAGGAAACCACTGAAGAATTTAAGCACTGACATGATCTGATTTTCCATTTTTAAAAATTGCTTTTTGGTGTGTAGAAATGGAACTAATATCAAAGCAGGGAATATTAGAGGCAAGAAAACCAGTTAGACTGCTATCCTGGATGAGAAAGGACTATGGCTGAACTAGAAAAGAAACAAAATGGGGAAGAGTCTGTGTGTGTGTATACACAGACAGTTAGTAATGGTGGGCAATTCAAAGTAAAAAATGATGGCTAGGTTTCTGATTTAGGTAACCAGATAGAGTAACAGTGCCCTTTGGTGCACCAATGAACAGCTGAGGATGGTTGCTTAGGACGTGATAAGGACATGCTTCTGAGATGTCCACGGGGCAGCTGGAGGTACTGTTCTAAAAACTCATGTCAGAGGTCGAGGGAGAAATAAAGAGTCCTCAGCAACATCAGGGAAGGTAAAAGTTAACAAGAGGAACGAAGAGGGCCTAGAACAGAATGCTGACGAACACCAATAATTAAGGGTGGGCGCATGAAGGGGAGCTCACCAGGTTAAGTGAGAGGTAGTAAGAAAACCTTAAGATGTGAAGCCAGGACACCATGGAATGATCATTTCTAGGAAGAAGTGCTTATCAATGCCCAACAGAGAGGCTCAGTGAGAAGAGGGACTAAGTAGAGTCCACTAGAATCAGTAGTGAGATGACTACACATATACCTTGGCAAGAAGAGCCTCAGGAGCGATAGGTATAAAGCCAATGTGGCAAGGCAAGCTGAATGATAATGCAAAGTCAGGAAGAGCAGACACATTTAAACAGTTATGCTATGAAAGAAAAGGCAAAAGGATAGTACTGAGAAAGAAAAAAATGCGTTTGAGGGAGGGGAATGCATGTGTATGAATAATCTTAAAAGATGGGAGAGACCTGGCCAAATTTGGGGGGGAAAGGCAGAGAACAAACAGATGTGATGGCAGAAGGCTGAGGCAATCTGCATCTGTGAAGAATGTGGGAAGGCCATGTGCAGAGCACAGGTATGGGTAGGGTAGCAGGGTGGGGGTTCAGAAAAGTGAAGGAACACTATGAAGAAAGAACACTGCCTAAGGAAAGACAGGATCTGCTGGGCAGCACTGAGAGCAGGCTGCAGATTAGGAAGTTAAACTCAACCCTCAGCTCTGCAGCTATGTGATTTTCTTCCAGCTACGTTAAGCAGCGTGACACAGGGTCCAAGTGTGCGTACAGGGATCTGACTTTGCCAACTGGGTACACCAGGAAAGCTGGGGAGCTGGCGAAGGAGAGGTGAGCTTAAACATGCTAGAGTGGGTAAGAAGCCAGCAGGGGGCTGGCAAAGGACCGGGTGGCAGGTCAGTGAGGCAGAAGAGCAGTGCAAAGGAAGTAACAGCATGAGAGGACAGAAGAGGCCCCCATGGAAAAGGAGAAAGCAAGAGCAAGAATAGGAGGAAAACCAGTGGTTAGGGGAAGTAAACACTGTAATTCAACCCTCTTGGCTACCCACAAACACAAGCCTCTGGGACCCATCCATTGCTCTCCAGTCTGGTCCTCTACTCGGCT